AAATGGATCAAACAGAAGAGAGCTGGACTCTTAAAAAAGAGAGGTAGGAATTGAGGAATATTTTAAAAATTAGTGAACAGTTTTCACCAGGTAAAACAATCCTAGAGCTGTGGATGTCTTAGGTTTTACGTAGAAGGAGAATTCGCTATTGCTGCAGTGGAGCTGAAGAAACTTTGAGAAATCCCAAGCATTTGATCATTAGCTGATCTGACAAGATGGGCCACAGCCCTCTGGGGCCTTTGACCACCGAAGATCCACTAAAAATATGCAACAAAGCATTTTTCTAAATTTGAGGACTACAGGTTGCATGGCATCTGAAACAAACAGTCCCAGTGAAGCAAAGTGGAATTTGAGCAGTATAAACACAGTTAAGAACATGGAATAAGAATCAGGATAAAGGTACTAAAAACCTGAAAGCAGTAGATACATGTAATTAATTTTTAAAAATAAAAATGGAATAACAAAAAACAGTCCTAACACACAGCACTAGACCTTAGGCAACTGCTAACTATAATCACAGATTCGTAAAATTGTTAGGTTTGTGGAAAGACCACTAAGATCATCTAGACCACCCACCAACTCATCACCACCATACCACCAATACCACTAGACGATGTTCCTCAGTGTTACATCTCCACAGTTCTTGAACACCTCCAAGGGCAGTGACTCAACCACCCTCCAGGGCAGCCTTTTCCAGAGCCCAACCATTCTTTTGGAGAATACATTTTTCCTGGCATCCAACCTGAACCTCCCCTGGTGTAGCTGAAGTCCTATAGCTGTTACCTGGGAGACAAGGCTGACTCCCACCTCCCTACAACATCCTTTCAGGTTGTTGTGGAGAGCAATAAAGTCTACCCTGAGCCTTCTCTTCTCCAGGCTGAACAATGCCAATTCCATCAGCTGCTCCTCATAAGACTAAATGCCTCAAGGTACCAAAACGAAAGGGTATAGCCTGCCCACGCAGAGCTCCTGCAGGACCCTGTGTTGAGATATCTCCCAGGAGGGGGTGTCATCAGCAACAGGAAGAGGAGAGCATCTCTATCAAGGTGGATGGCGATGTTCCACTCCAGAGTGCTCATAACGTGCTTAGAGATCTTTGACAAAAGGAGCAATGCAATATAGATGTGAAGTGTTATTATTCCTATCACACAAGTTTATTAAATTTAATGAGGATACTGAGGGATTCCATTAATCCTAACCACAATATCAGAGTCTCTCAACACTTTCTTGATGCCATTGAAAATATAACAGCTCTGAGTGCCTTGCATTTTTATGCTGTGAGATTGTTAAGTGCACTCTACATGCAACTGCATCTACTCATTTCACCCAACATCTATTCAGGCTCATGCTTTATCTGCTTGGCCTCTTTCACAGTAGAAGAATAGGATCCTCCATGAAGTCCACAAATATATTTTTCCCATAACACTTTGCAACAAATGAATGTTAATTCAGGCTAAATTATAATGGAGCTTCCATAGAATTATATACTACATCTACATGAGTATCCAGGGAGCAGTTTGATTAATATCATTATCACAATGAATAGTAGAGAAATTAATGTGATTTTCTGCTAATGATAACAGAGAAGCATTTAGATTTTACTTTTGGAAGACATCTTCCTTATTTTCCCATACAAAGTACTTCCAACTTGCAGATGGGAAGCATGAAAGTGACAATCAGTTCTGTAAGGTCTTTTTGGGAGTGAAGCTGTTTGATTTTCACTTACTCTTAGGCCTTTCTTTTTCAAAGTCCTGCTCAAACACATGCATGCATCTTGTCTACAATTTTTTTCCCTTTCATAATTTGAAAAATATTCTGTAACAAAATTTGTGTTTGTCCATAGTGAATTTGAAAAAGTTTCACCGGTGAATTACAAGTACTGCTAATGATTTCTTTCTATGTTATTAAAGTTATAAAAACCAAAAAGAAAAATAATTATGAGATACAATCCTGAAGTTAAAAATAACAAATAAACACAATACAAAATATCCATAGCAACCAGACAGCAGATGCAGCCCCAGTAAACTACACAATTGTTTCTATCATTTGCCACTGAATGTTTCTGTTACAGTACTGAGTACAGAGCTCAGTGAAATACACTCAAAGAAACACCTTTGTAAACTACATAGATGAGTACCATAAAAAGTCAGGAGAACCTCTTAAGTGCTTAGGATTAACAAGCATTCATTGATGTATTCAAGATGAATAAAATTAACCATGAGGTTTACAACTGTAACCTGTTCACTACAAACACTCACTACCGAAGCTGACAACTACTTAGGCATGTGTTAGTCATGTACTCCTTTACTTCCAAAATAGTATCCAAACAGAAGACATCACAATTTCCTTCTGTATCACATAGTCACAGATTAAGCTATGAAAATAAGCTAGAAGTTTTCAGAGATGTAGAGGTGTAGCATATTGAAAATCAGTCCCCTTCTTACTAGTTCAGGGCTTGCTCAGAACACCTAGTACCTAGCATTGTATTTAGACAAAAGGTCATTGCACATTTAAAGGCAGATACTGCAGGGAAAGGAGTAGGTGCAGAGCAGGGGCCCGTTTTGAGTGGAAGAAGTCACAGGCACGTGGAATCATAGAATCATAGAATCACAGAATGGCTTGGGTTGAAAGGGACATCAAAGATCATTTTGTTCCAACCCCTCTCCTCGGGCGGAGTTGCCACTTGCTAGATCAGGCTGCCAGGACCCCATACATCCTGTCCTTGAACACCTTTAGGAACGGGGCATCCGCAGCTTCTCTGGGTTACCTCCTGCACGCTGTTCCTTCTTCCAATACTCATGTTTTTGTTAAAGCTCTGCTGCCCTGAGCTGCACTCTCAGGCTCTGGTTTTGGTCTGTTGCAAGGCTCAATTGGGCATATAGAGTTGGCAATCAAAATTGGAACAGCTAGGATGGAGGACAACAGGGCACTGGAGTCATTAGGAGCCACTCTCTGGAGCACTGCTTGGCCTGTTGAGCTGCATGAGCCACTTTTTGTGGGTAGGACAAAAGTAAAGAAAGACTCGCAGAGTGTAACTGTTCAAACTACAAATAGGAAGGACAAATACCAAATGCTTTCAGAGTTTATGGCCATAAAAATTCACAGCCTGCAAGTAAAATGTGCAGAAAGCCTATGAGCTCTGCTTCTATATGACTTATTTTTTTCTTTTTTTTTTCTGAGGTGGTCTTAGAAGATATTTACTTTTACATAGATTAGAAAAATATTTTTATAACAGATATTGGTTTCCCAGTGCCTATCAAATAAAGCAAGTTGCTATACTTACTGCCAACGAGCTGTGGTATGTTCCTGTATCATTATAGGCATAAAAAAAAAAAAAAAAAAAAAAGGAAAAAGGTTTCTAAAGGAGTTCTATGTCTTAAGAAACAATATGATAAAAAAAAAAAGTCCTTACAATGTCTTTTTCCTAGCAGGATTCCAACCCTTTTGCAGCAGCAGCCATTGTCACTTAGGAAAGCAAAGGTTAAAGCAGCACACGAGTGCTTCAGATATCAATTTTGTGTTGTTAAAAGTAATGAAATGAAAAACAAGATAAATTTAACCCAAAATTCAAGAGATATATTCTGACTACAATGTTTATCCCGCTCATTTTCCAAGGCAGAAGGCAGAAGTATTGCTGCTTCAAAACTAGGTTTGGACAAAACAGTAGAAAATATGATGTAATAAGTAAATTTCTCTTCAAAGGTTAAAAAGGAGACAGATCCGCAGCATTTTACTGACTCCTAAATTCTCAGCATGTTTAATCTCAGTATGTTTTTGGCGGTGGGAAAAAATGGCATTTAATGGCAGCTCAGTGAGCTCCAGATGAAACTTCTAGACCTGAGTGGCAAGTTAGTGCTTAATGTGAGGACGCTTGCAATTTTATAGCTAAGAAAGCAGAATATTCTCTGGTGTGGCTATTTTGCTGCCCAATGCAGGGCAAAGCAGGTCCTCTATTTCCTACAGTAAGGATCAAACAAGCTATCTGTGTCACAATCTTAGAAACACATTAATTAAAATATGATTTATTTTAAAAATAATTGAGATTATGTAGCTCAGTGATCTGAAATTTTCCATGCAAGACAAGAAAATTTGCAGTGTTTGAGCCACCTTTTGGCTTTTACTTGAGTAAAAATGAATTCTTGAGTAAAAAAGTATTTGTTAACAAGAAAATATTGTCCTTTTCTGAAAGGACTTGTCCTTTGGTAAAACCGATGTGCTGTATTTACGCAATGAATGGTGTACTAATGGGTTTTCATGCCCTTATAGATAGCCAGAATTGTCCATACAAATTAGTAACTAAAAACACACTAAAGAGGTACTTAGATACAAAAGCCTAAAAACGAGAATGTAGCAGGACTGTTAGTTAGGATACAATTGTACAGTTCTGGACTTACAACATATGATCTACTGCCACCTCCCTCTTGTGGACAGCTATTTATAGTGATAACTGAACTGCAGATAGATGCTTAGCAGTTTGATGTCATAATTTATATTCCAGCTGAAGTAGAAAACCTCTTTGAGTGTGAATAAATACAATGATGATTCCAACCTCCCAACATTTATACATTCATTATCTCCCACGTTTACAAGAAAGCATGCATGCTGGGATCACTGCCACGGTAGTAATTACTAATATTCAGCTGGCTAAAATACCTTAAAAGTTTGCTAGTTACCTTGAGAAATATTGCCCCCAGGAAATGCATGATTCAAAACCAGTTTGTACATGGTGAATGCCTACCCATAACCATGCATAATTCAAGCAGTTCATGAACCAATAGGAGCCTCACTTATTACTCCTGAGACACCAACAAATGTCATGGTATGAATAATAGAAGAACATGTATATTTGCGTAGCACATTGAATTATCTACTGTTACTCCTCAACTTACTGCAGCTACAGGAAATTATTTCTGTGTTAGCAGATACTGAGTAAATGGAATATTTACCTGATGGTTTTTAAAAATCTGAAAAGTTGAAAATTTAAGGGAGATGGATCTTACCTGTATTGTCTACAGAGCAGCTGCGCCAGTGTGCAATGATGAAATTGAACTCCCGTTTACTTGACATCACAACTTCACTTTCATTTTTTTGAATTATCAGTTTATTCCATAAAACCGCAGGACAGATGTTAATTAATCTTCTTAATCATATGAATATAATTACCTAAAAAAAAGTTTAAACATTTTCAGAAGTCAGGTCCCCAGTATCTTAAATTTAGTTGCTAAGTGTGTGTTCTACTTAAAACTAAATATATTTTAAAAAAAAAGCAAATAAAAAATAATGAAATTTTGATTTACAGAAAGTACAAAAGGACATTGCATCTCCATTTTTGTTTCTTTTCTAGTCCAATTGTTGATTGAAAGGATATATTTCCCAAGAAGAAAAACATTTTTACCTCATTATTCTTTGTCTGGTGCGAGCCATTTGGTGTTTTGAAATGAGGATAGTACAAATATTCACCAGGAAATCCATGGAAAATTGTACACAGTTAAAGAAATGTGTATATCTGCTGTTGTATAAGATGTAGTAGGTTGTCACTTGGCCAGATTTTTTCTAGGACATCTGGGTTTTTCTCTGCAAATGGCAGGTGAAGTTGGTAAGATATAGAAGTGTTTTGTTGTTGTCACTTTTACGGTTTTTAATGTGATTAACACACAGCCTGCCCCTGAATGCAAGTGAACCATCTTCCCTTGATATTTTTTGAGCTTCCAAAAATAGTCTCAGGATAAAAACGGATGATATAAAGCAACTCAACAGAATCCAGCATTGTACAATATACAGAACTATTGGTAAGTGGTAAGTGGTAAGATTTGGGTGCACTAGTTGCACAGAGTGAACCAATATAGCAGATAGAGATTTAGCCCAATATGACTTCCAAAGACCAGTTCAAAGACCAGTTAAGTGACACAAAAAACAAACTTCTAAATATTAAGTATCAAGGGAGAGCATCATTTATAGGGTCACAAATGACATGCAAGATACTTCACCCTGCAGAAGATGGAAGCACTCAGGGCATTCTATCTGTGGCACACCTGGTTTCATGTTTCAGCATGAAAAATGTTTTTATTCAAATATAACTATTGGTTATTTTACTTAAGCTGAGTTTGCAATCCATTCAGAGTTGCTGCCTACCGCATCATTACTCCCTGTAATTGTCTGGGGTTGATTATGCCTATGTAATTGAAATACTTATCACTCACCTTTACTGAAATGCTTTGTATTGTATTTTAGACCATTTACATAATTTGACAAGAACTTTTTAATTCCTAGTACTATACTGCAATGTTTTTACTCTCTTTCATGTTGTCTGAAAGTTTAATAATGCATTTTGTTATACGAACAGGAAATGAAAACTGACTTCAGTAGTAGAAGCAGGAACAGATTACACAGAACAAGACTTGATATATTTCATGACAAACCATGGACAACAGCTTGTTGACTGAAGTTTTCAAATTGGCACCTTTGTTTCACAGAAGCTTCAACCAGAGCATTCATTTCCTGCTTTTTTAAGGAGAATTTTAGCATATGTTTCCCTTGCTCACATACATCAGCTCTAGAAGGTCTCAGATAATAAACCAAAAAATGAATGTTCATCATGGCATTAGGGGTCCTGGCCTAGTTCAATTCGGCATGATGAGACCATATGTCTGTGGAGATAAGACACATCTGACTACTTCAGGGTGGTCATGCAGTGCCCATCACAGAGTTCACCAGTCTGGCTGAGATGTGTAGGTTCTATTTGCACAATGAAACAACAATCATTAGCAGTATTGTGCATTTCCTCATGTTTTGCCAGCTCCTATTAAGTGGATTGTGCATTATGGATTCAATATCATTCCTGAAGATGTTTCTCATGCAATCCTGTCTTGTCTAGATTTTCGTTATGTTTAGTGAACACAAAGGTTGTCCATGTGGAACAGGAAGCCTACAGGGTGGGGACCACTTGCAATCCTGATGGCAGATGTTGGTCAAGATTTGTTCTTTATAGAATCATTCTGCTCAGTACTGGTGTTTCCACTATCCAAGCTGCTTCCTTTCCCATTGTCTAATATTTAATTTCAATATTTACTACTTCATTTTAAGAGACAAATAAATTAGTTATAAGGGGTTTCTGTATTCAAAATAATTTTTCTTGAGAATGCCTTTCTTTCTCTTTCTTAGAAAAGCAGTTGCTATGGAAGAAAATTAACAGCTACGATTGTATAGTTAATTTTTATATTATAGTACTTTTAAACATTAGTTTGGAATTTGCATCTTTCTCTGCTTTATTTTGGATAAGCTAATTAACTTTAAAAATAGTCTTCATAACATGCAAAACATGGGAGAAAAGATGGTGGAAGCCAAAAGGTTGACTACAGCAAGATTTGCATTGAATTAAATTAAACTCCAGCACAGAACAAACTCTGTGGATTGCAGAAGGAGAGACTAATTTGAAAGGGTGTGCCTTGCTGTGCAGGCTCTTTAAGTGTGATCTGCTTTTGGCCTAATTTTCTGTGACAGTGTATTTAATAACAGTGGTCCCTCACTGAGAATACCTTCTGCCTGGTCTGCCACTGTGGAAATTTTGGCTCTGTAATCAGCATGTCTGTCGATTCAACACATAATTTCTTTAAAGAAAATAAGAACTCTGAGCAGTTAGTCATACAGCTCTAAATGAAGAAATTTTATGGTGATATTAAAGTACCCCCAACCTAAGCTATTCCACATTAGTTCCTCCTCTGCTTTGTTCGCTGCCTATTAAAAAAATTAGGAACTTACTTATGAAGCAAGAAGGTTCCCTTCTAAGACTGATAATTTAAAATCCTAGAACAGACTCTCAAGGGCAGATCAGGAGTTTCACAACAATATGGATTAATGTGATTTTTTTATGTGTGCTAAAAATATGTGGGCACTGCTGTTTGATAAACGTTTTATGGGTAATATGGATTTTTCATTTATGAACATTCATCATTAAGTGGCTTTATATTTAAAACATTACCTAATGGAGCTGCATGAAGTCAGGAACCAACATGTAGATGTACTTCAGAGCTGCTCAGTTTCCAAAGCAGCAGTCCTATTCAAATGTGTACATGCCTTCTGTGACCTGACATATTAGAGGTTTTAAATTCAATTTAGTTTGAATGTGCAATTTTTCTTTTTTTCCTCCACTGAAATTGTGCAGGATATGAAGTATATATAGCAAGTCTATGAACACACTGTGCCTGAAGAGCCCAGCAGACATACTGAAGGATTATTTTTCACCATTATACAAACAATTGTAGGATTAAAAATCAAAAGTATCTCTATTAAATTTTAAAAGCATTCTGCCTTGCTCTGCAAGACTTACTATAGACACAAGAGGATAAAAATGGTACTTGAATTAAGTCAAACTCCTTGTATTAGGGAATTTGCATGCTGCATCCAGCATAACACTCTACATATCAGTAGCACATGACCAGCTTGGCCACTGGAGCTATAACATGCACAGTCTCAACCTCACATCAAGACTGCAAGGACCCTAGTGCCTTGCTGCATGAGTAAACCTGTTTAACTACAGTGGTGAAGCAGGGCATGCTGGAGGAGTCCTCCTTCATCCCAAGGTCCCCTCCCTCCAGCCCTTTGTGCTCTTCCAAAATAATGCTTTAAGCCCTTAGCCAGCTGTGGTCCCTCACCACAAAGATGCACATGAAGGTGAGGAAGATGGACCTCAGGCATGTTGCATTGAAGGCAGCATGAGCAAGGTATACCTGTTCCCAGAGAAACCAGTGTTCCACTTTTGCAGCCATATGGGTGCAGAGCAATCTCTGGCCGTGTCAGGAAGTTCTCCAGCACAGTGCAGAATGAGAGCAGTCACACTGATGAAAGACCAAGTTAATGGGTTTCCCATAAACACAGACATAGAGCAGTACGTAGCTTGGCAAGCCCCTCTGAAGCTCTCCTGTTTGTGGTTTTAAGATTAAAAGCTGTCGTCGCATTCTTAGGAACAAGGCGGCATCCTATTAAACAAAACTGAGAACTGGAGATTGCTTAATTTCTGTATTTTCACTTTCCATTCACTATGCATAGGAAAGGAGGCCACAGTGAACTGTCTTGGTCTAGACTGGAGAAACTGGATTTCAGCACAACTCCATTTTGTCAAAGGGGATGTCAGTTCTTGTACTCCGAAGATTTGGGGTTCTGTTTCATTATAGAGCAAAGCTCCAAAAATCATAGCCATCCTTCCATTAGCTTTACCCTTCACCTTCCAGTTTACCATAAGTTTAAAAGGGTTCATTATGCTATTGCATTTTAAATAACAGTTTTTGGGGGAGTTGAATTTATACACAATGAATTCTTTCATATTCTTAAACCACTCACTAATTTAAGCCAGGCACAGGAATACTGTGTGTCTTTTTATATAGTATACATATTGTCCAAATTATCTCTTTATTACTCTCGTTAAGAAGTGTATGCATTCAGTTCACACTGCATGTAGCCAACAGGAAGGAAAAATAAACAAATGTACTGGGGGGATTAGTTCATTTTTTGTTTTGTTCTTAATGGATACATCTCAGTCCAACACAAAGGATTTATTTAATGTTTCCTGAAGTTTATATGTCCCAGTGCAAAAAAAAATCAAGGTGAGTTGAAAGCTGTACATGCCCACCTTCAGCAGTATTAGCTACTGATAATCAGTCTCAATTTTTTAAGTACCTTTTCAAGTACAATGACTTCTGGCTGGAAACGAGAAAAAATCTGATCACTCTACGTAATCACCAGTCATCCCTGAAATGAGAAGAATATTTCTGTTATCTCTTCTGCAGTGAATGCTGTCTTTATAATGACTGTCATAACATACATTACATTTACTTAGTGATGTGTTCTTATGCCTAGAATAACAGCAATTGTCTCCCTCATGTACATTCCCCCAATAGCCTAGCATTAACTAAGCCTTGTCTTTATGTGCAGCTTTCTCAAGCACTGATTGCCTGCCATAGACACCTGTACTCTCTGCTACGTTCAAATGTTAACAATAAAACTTGCGAGAACAGATTGATGTGAAAAGGTGCAAAAGTCAAATGGAGCCATATCTAATTTTATCTTGCTGTCATCCTATGGTG